CAATCACGGTAACTGCTGCACCTGCTGGGGGGGTGGGGGGGCTCCTCTGGGCCAGACCCCCCCCCAAGCCCTGGGGAGCCGGGCCCCGAGCCTGGCCTGTTTGCCCAGGGGGAGCCCAACAGCTCAGAGACCCCCAGCCAGGCACTGCCCTACCCACTAGGCCCTGCAAATCACCAGTCTCGTGCAAAACCCCACGTACAGGTACGCATGCCAACCCCGTGCGAGCGCCTCACACACGTGTCCACAAAACCAGTGCCACGATCGCACCTGTACGTGGCTCACACTCGAGGGCCGGCCAAGGCCCCACGTCAGCCCCCCCTGCACACAGGAGTGCATGCCCCTGAGCCCACGCCCGACAACACGTGCGTGTGCGAGGAAACCCGACCCCTCCCCAAGCACCGAGCACGGCCCAGCGTGCCAGAGCCACGTTCACACCCTGAGTGCAAAGGCAGGGCACTAGCAGCCCGGACGCCCGGGTTCTTTCCAGCGCTGGGAGAGCCATGGGGGCGGGGGGCGAGCGGGGGGCCGGGAGCCCGGACCCCTGGGCTCTCTCCCTGTGCGGGGAGAGGAGTGGTGGTTGGGTGCAGGGGTGCAATCCCCAACCCCTTGGTAGGGTTTCCCCCCCGCCCCCCCGAGAGCTGGAGAGAAGCCAGGTGTCCGGGCTCCCAGCCCCCCCGGGCTCACCCCAGCCCCCTCCCCTCCTAGCACTGGAGAGAGCCCAGGCGTCCGGGCTCCCGCCCTGCTCCCACCTCGGCGCGTTGCCGGAGCCGCAGCATCGATCGGCCGAGGCTCCCGGAGGGCGCTGTGAAGGTCGCAGGGAGAAGAAGGGATGGGGGGTGGGGGGGGGAACGGAGCCAGGACCCCCCAGTCCAGCCCTGCAGCTCTCCCAGTCCAGCCACCCCCCCCCATCACGTGTCCGTCTGGGGGAGAGGACAGGGGCTGCCCTGCCAGGGGGCCCTGATCCAGGCCTGATCCTGGGGCCCAGGCTGGAGCAGGGTTGGGGGGGCTCTCAGCTTCTTCCCCCATCCCCAGACCACCCCCATGGGCTGGGGGGGCAGGGCTGTTGTGTGGCTGGTTTTAAATAACACGGAAGGGTTTGGGAGGGGGGAAAGACAAGCCCCGACTCAGGCCCTGGCCTCGGTAACCCCCCCAAGAGTGGAAGAGACCCCAGGCGTCCGGGCTCCCCCCACCCCCCAGGCAGCTAAGCCCCTCCATGCGCCCCCAGCAAAGGCAGTGCAGATCAACACGCATGTCCAGTCCAGGGGGGCAGGGATGGGGGGGGTCACAGCCAGATCCGTCCCCAGATGCTGCCGTGGCCCTGGTGCCCCCAGACCCACATGGGGGGGGCAGGGCCAGGCTCCTCCCCAGCACCCAGGGGCAGCCAGCAGGGGACGCCGTGCCCGAGCACCCTGGCACCTTTGGGAAGCTGGGGAGGGTCGGCGTGTGGGTGGGAGACCGGGAGAGCTGCTGCCCCAGCCGCCACTGCCCTCCACGATCAGGAGAGAACCCAGGCGTCTGGGCCCCCAGGACCCAACCCCACGCAAGTACGCCCACAGAGCCCTCTTGCACACACACGCACCCTGTTGCACACCTACCCTCCCCTGGCTCCGGCCTCTCAGACACACCTGCTCTGCCCCATGCTTGTGCAAGCACACACAGACATGAATGCGCATGCACTTGTGCAAGTACACACATACTTGCATGCATGCACACTTGCACAAAGATGCACACACCTGTGTGCACAGACACTACGTGTGCAAACACTTAGAATCATAGAATCACTTGTGCAAGACCACACACACGCTTCTGCAAGCACGCAGACATGTAGATGGGCGCACATGTGCAAGCTCTCCATGCTTTTGCACAGATACACACACACATGTGCAAGCTCCCCCACACACATACTGACTCCTCTCCTACACTTGTACAGGCCCCCGCACATGCATTCAAGCCCACAAGCTTATGCCCGTATGGGAGCACCCACCCCCCCAGGCTCCACTCCCATCCCATCTCACACATGTGTGCAAGCACACACGCATGGACACTGGCACTCTGCTCTGGCCCCATGCACACACATGTGCAAGTGCACACGCACGTGCCCTTGGCCCTTCCAGTTCCTCCCTGCCTCCCTCTGCTCCCCACCCAGCCCTAGCCCCATGGATGAGATGAGTGTGCAGGGGCTCAGCCCAGTTCGGGGGGGGCACTGGGACTGAGACTGAGTCAGCCACTGCTGGGAGGGGCCCGGATGCCCGGGTTCTCTGCAGCTGTCAGAGATGATCTCTCTTGTCCCTCCAACCCCAGCCCTGGAGCGAATGGGTGTGTAAGCAGCACCCCCCCAGGAGCCCCAAGTGTTCACACACAATTTGCACAGTGGCCTCCAGGGCTGAGGATGGGCCTGGTGTGAGTGTGGCACATCCCTGCATATACACACACACACACACACAAGTGCATGCATGCATGCATACACACTGCTTGGCACAGGCACAGAGACCCCTGGCATGTGCACACACAGCCTTACACATGTGCACACCCCATGTGTAAACAGACCACTCATACTTATACATGGACCCCTTACACACACTGTGCCCAGACACATTCACCCCCTTGCAGAGTGGGCTCACACTCCGGAGACACAGATGTACACACATGCACGCGCGCGCGCACACACACACACACACACTACCTACTACACACAACCTAGGCATCCAGGATGCACAGACATGCACACCCAGAACCCAGGTGTCCAGGACACACACGCACACAAACACACACACACTCAGCCCCAAGCCAGGTTCAAAAGCTGTTTTGGGGTGGATGGGCCTGGCCCAGATGCTGACCTCTGACCCCTGAGCCCTCTCCCACCACCCTCTAGGCTGGTGTCTTGGGACCTGGGGACACGGGGCTGAAATGCAGCTGGCTCTGGTTGGGGGCGGGCGGGGGGCTGTGCTAGCGGCCAAATAAAACAGATGCAGCCAGCTCTGGGGTGTGGCAGGAACTGGGGGTACAAAGCCAGGCACTGGGATGCAGCTGGCCCTGGGGTGGGGGGTGTCAGTAGTTGAGTGTAACAGAGATACGGCTGCTTCTAGGGAGAGACCTTGGGCTCTGGGGACATGGGGCTGAAATGCGGCTGGCTCTGGTGTGGGACGTGTCAGCGGCCAAGTAGAACAGGGGCTACCAGCTCTGGGGGTGTCAGGCTGGCTTTTCAGCGTGGGGGGGGGAACCCAGAGCAGCACCCTGCAGCTTGGCACACGCACATACACTAACACACATGCGCACGTGTGCCCATACATGCAGATCCCCATGGGCACACACCCTCACAGGCTGCAGACCCGTGCACCCTTGTGCGCACACCCTCTCGTGCACATGCTCTCCCCCAGTTGGCAGCCTGGCATGTGTGTGCACACGTGCCCATGTACTCATGCCTCCATACGCTCACACCCATGCCCTCTTCTGCACACAAGCATTTGACCCTTGCACACTCATGCACATACACACATGCACACTCAAATTGATGTACTGTCTTGTGCACACATGCTGCTATGGGTGTGGACCCTGACACAAATATGTGCACTGTTGCATATACCCATAGGCTCCTGCTTACATGTTCACACACATGCATTTATGCACACAAGCACTCAGCCCATGCACAAACGTGCACTCCCATGGACATGCTGTGTTGTGCACATGTGCTCCCACGGATGTGTACCCTGGCACACGTGTGTGTGCCCTTACACATACGCATGTACTTGTG